GGTTCCTCGGTTCCATGAGGAACCCGACTCTGGGTTCCTTGCGACGAGGAACCCAGATCGGGTTCCTCCCTCTGGGTTCGTGAACCCAGAGCAAAATTTTTTATTTTTTTTAATTTTTTATTTAAGTAAACCACGTCATCAAAAAACCATCCACGTTGAATTACTAACGGCATATATTGGCCACGTCAATTTTTGAGTGCCACGTAATACATTTTGTAACGGTACCGGGACGTCGCGTTAAAATGTTGGGTTTTTTACGGGTTTTGAAAAGTTAAGGGTGTGAATAGGGAGGAAAAATTCCGGAAGGTGTTGACCGTGGAAAACAATTAAGTGTAGGGTGCAAATAGGGGCTTTGGCCTATATCATCCACAAACAAACCTATTTACACAGCAGGAAAGGACTCACCTAGTACTCCCATGCCAAATGCAAATAGTTAGCACATCCACACACAAGCAAGGAGGCATGTAAGCATGATGCATGATGAATAGGCATGTAACATCAGTGATGTATGAGCATGTGAGATGATATGATGCATGAACATGTGAGCAAGATATGATGCATGCCAAGATGTAGCCAAATAACTATTCAAAAGCAAAATAGTAAAGCAACCATGAGAACAACAAGCAAACAACAAGCAAGAAGCACATGCAACGAGTAACAAAGACCCACAAAGACTCAACAACCAAAAGAAAAATCAAAAGTTGAAAAATTCCCCAAAGTTAAAGTATTAGCTCGACCCTCGTGAATCTAGAACATGAAAACCAAAGATTTTGGATTCAGTCCCTAGTAGAGTCGCCAATCTGTTGATGACCACTTAAGATTTCAAAATTATAAAAAAAGATTATTATTATTATGTGGTGTGAAAATTATATAAAAGAAATGGGGAGTCATCACTCGTCCAAATTATAAGGTGGGACAAGTCACCTAAAAATGGGTTTGTACAGAGATTGGGGTTCGGGGGTTCGGTTAGGAGTGAGGAAAGGCATACGCGCACCTCACAATCCTCCGTTTAAACACGGTTGCATACCTCAACATTGGGGAATTTTAATTCAACTTATTCATTATGTTAATGTTTGAGTCTTAATAGGTAAACTTAAAAAAGGATAAACCAAATCGAATTTTTTTTTTTTTTTAAATTTTGGACTGAAATGGATGAAATCGAAAACATGCATACACAATAAACACAAATAAAAATTAAAGGGACTAATTTGATTAAATTTGAAATAGAAAGGACTGATTTGATTCAATTCAAAATGTGAAAGACTGATATGAAAAAAGTTGAGACCCGTGCACTAAATTGCCTAATTATAAAAGTTTTGGATGAG